CGATCTGAAGCCGACGATTTTATTTTACCCAGCAGGGCGGGCTTAAGAAATTTGGTGGCAGCAAGAAAATCGTCCTTAGGGAGCTTCGGGGGCCTGGGCTCAAGCGCAAAAACTCCCGTGCGTTTAGCATGCCCCACCAAATCAAAACCCATCCTAAGCTTAGCAAAAACGCCCATGTCAATCCAGCCGAACCACGACGCAATCCTTTTAAGAAGCAAGAGCCTTTTTGCCTGCAACACCTTTGCAACCTCTGGGTCCAACAACTTGCAAAGACCAGCTTCCTCGACCTCAAGGTCAAGAGCCCCTGGGTCCACTTCTTGAGCAGCTTTGCCCTACGATCCACTACCCAAGCAGGTCCCTTGGTCAACATGTCAAAAAGGCACTGTTTGAGAACATCAGGCGCAGCATGAAGCTGATCAAAGAGACTGCCAGTCGTAGGTAACCTTGTTGCTTGGAATTTCATTGTTTGAAAACCAGAGACATGTCCAGATCGGTAACCGGCAGAGCTTCAAGCAACTCTTAAAGTCCAAGACAATGCACTCCGTCCCGAGCAGAGGTCGAAGTTTTAAAGTGATGTACACACAACACCCTTCTTGGTGCTGGCCATCTTTGAAGGTGGCGCATCCGACAAGTTGGATCAGTTGTGCACGTGGAACGCAAAAAAGACGACACCGCTGAGCAGTGATCTGGTCTTCTCAGCAAACTTTTACTTTCACAGAGCAGACACCGCTTTTTTCTCGACTCCAAGCACAGCTTAAGTGAACCCGCGAAGTTACAAAACAGCATGACTGCATGTGTTTGCTTCCGTTTAAGGCAAGACCAGGTTAGTCGACTTCACACTACTACTACTGCTATTATTATTATTATACTACCACTATTATTTACTCGATTACTACTACTACTACTACTACTACTACTACTACTACTACTACTACTACTACTACTACTACTACTACTACTACTACTACTACTACTACTACTACTTCTACTATTACTACTATTATTACTACTACTACTACTACTACTACTACTACTACTACTACTACTACTACTACTACTACTACGACTCCTACTACTACTCCTACTACTACTACTACTACTACTACTACTACTACTACTACTACTACTACTACTACTACTACTACTACTACTACTACTACTACTACTACTACTACTACTACTACTACTACTACTACTACTACTACTACTACTACTACTACTACTACTACTACTACTACTACTACTACTACTACTACTACTACTACTACTACTACTACTACTACTACTACTACTACTACTACTACTACTACTACTACTACTACTACTACTACCACTACTACTACTACTACTACTACTACTACTACTACTACTACTACTACTACTACTACTACTACTACTACTACTACTACTACTACTACTTGAACGCTGAGCGAGCGGGCTCTGCTCATTGCGGGCGATTTGCACCGTCTGAGCACCGAAAATTGGATTGGAGCTAATGGTTAGGAGAGGTGAAACTGAATTCATCATCACTATACACGAAAGGTGAAACCTCACAAGCTCACAAGGTTTGGGATCAAAATTTACTTGCTTGTACATGATCACTATGCAGAGAGGCAGAGGATTGTAGGAGTTCAGCGCCATTTCTGCGGAACGTGGTGCTTCTGTGGCAAAATCTGGTCCATGGAATGATTCATATTCTTGTATCTGCACATTGTATTGTGCCAGTTTCCGGTTTCTATGTCCACCAGCACCTGATGCATTTCACGAACCATATCACTGAAGAAACTGCCACAGCACGCCCGCCACTCTGGCGGCATCCGCAAGGGGGGGAAGAGGGTAAGCCAATTCTTCTCACAGAAAATTTGTCTGCCGACCTATGACTGCTCTCACACTTGCTTTTTCTGTTAGCTTGGTCAGCAGCTTCAGATCATGGAGACTTACTTTCTGCAGCAGTGCGAATTTTTCCGGGCCTTTAGACTGGCATTGGCTTGGTCACAGGAAGCTGCCGTAGCATTTACTGGAAGTGATGCTCATAATGCCATTGGCGCCTGTAACAGTTTACGCGCACAGAACCAGATATGGCTGGAAAATACAGCAGCGGCTTCTATTTTTAAGAACTGTGCCTTTGTTCTGGTTTGCTGTGCAAAACGTACGGACTCAGACTTTTACTGACTGAAGAAGTGCTCGTCGTTGTGGTGTCCGTAAGTCTTGCGGACCGGCCCTGAAAGCAGAGAAAATGTAAAATTTAACAAAAATCACCAAAAAAATTGTGTCAACGCACTTAGCGTTTCATTACGGGGAAAACATTTGGAAAACAAGCAATCTTTATCTTTTTTAACGCCTGCGCTTGGGCTGCGCCGCAACGCCCCTGCGCCCTTCCTGGCGCACACCTTCGAGGGCCAGAGACAGAGCTGGTAGATCATTATCCGGGCTGCAGCCACAAAATCCTGATTTTGATTCTCATACCACCGCGCAACCTTCTGCACTGCACACGACACCTATAGAAATGAAAACTTGACATTGCTGATGTCTTCAGATGACCACCACAGCCTGCGAAATATACAAGCCTGGGAAAGGGGGACAAACAAAATAAACAAATCTTGCACGGTTGCCTTTTGGACGAGCCAATCACATTGATCAACAGCTTTTGCCTGGCAGCCGAGCCCAGGCGGCCGAGGCCCCGCAGCAAGCACAAAACAACAATGCCCGCAAACCTTCTATTTTTGTTTCCTTTGTATTGAGTTGAGCCTACCTGCCTACTCACCATGGGGACGACGCAACAAATTGAATCAAAACATGGCCAACCCGTGATTGGCAGTAGGCATGTGAATCATCTTACAGACTATGAAACTTGTCTTGGCAAGTCTGGGTCAGCAGGATACCAAGCTTGCGCTTGCTTTGACAAGGTCAGGCTTACCGCAGGCTTGCCTCTCACCAAGAGTGACTTGCCCCCCGAAACTAAAAATCTACCAACGCCCGCTAAAATTACTACAAGGGCACTCACGCAAGCTAACACGCTCAGTGCTTTACTGGCAGAGGCGGCCCACCATTCCAAGGTTCCAGCGTCCACCGTCTTTGCGCTGGGGGCTCCTACCTCACGGCCCGAGCTCTCACATACACAGCGCGGCGGCGCTGATGTATGGAGATACGCGGAGGCTGCGGGGGGGGCATGTACATTGACATCAAGACAAGGATGTGGTGCCCTACCGCACACTTCTCACCTGCATCACCCCCCCTCGCACGCCTCTCGGATGACTTTGTGCGGCGTGACAAATCACCAGCCCACATGACATTCTGCATCGTCCTCTTGAAGGTCTCCGGGCCATCTCGTGCGTTGGAGAACGTGCGCTTGCCCAGTCACTTTCAGAGCACTTTTCTTTGACTCCCAAGTGGTCTTCAAGAGTTGTCGGGGCTTTAATCGGGCACAAAACTGGATGGGGTAGGGTATATGCATTGCTCCAGGTCTTAACGCCAAGAGCAACAGTCATTGCCCGTGAACTGTGTGAGTGTGAACAATTCCCCTATCACTTCTTTTGGCCGTGGTAGTCATACCTTGTTGCTTCTCACACAATAGATACAGAGCCACGTTATTGGCTTTAATGCCCCTGGCTAGACCCACCTCACTTTGGCCATCTGTTCGCAGACAGTGGAGCTATGTGCCAATGTGTCCACTGAGTGAGGGTGTGGTTGCCCCTTGTACTTTGTGCTCGGTGGGCTTTATTGCCGCTTATGGTACTCGCACCTTTATGTGCTCCTCTGTTATTTGCTTTGTCGTTTGATCACTGCTAACATTGTGATCACCACCCCTCCCCATCCGAATATAGTTGGCACATGCGTGACAGTTATTTTGCTCAAGCGCTCGTTATGGGAGCACTGACCCTTAACCCGCGCAATGGCCTTCTGTCTGGATTTGGCGCCGGATCATCTTAGGAAGATCCTTTTGCATTATGCTTAAGACGTTAATCCATATGGAAATGTTAAAATATTGGGATTTATTTAATTAAGAAATAAATACGAAATGAATAGGAAATGGATAGGAATCATAAATAGGAATCACAAAAGATAAATTACAAAATAAATAGGAAATAGATAGAACCGAAAATACATCAAAAAATAGGAAAAAATAGGGTAATATCAATGTTGGAATTCATAAGTGCAGAAAACATAGGAAAAAATAGGAAACAAATAGGAACACCATGCAAAATAGGGAGCTGACATAGAAGGTACTCAGTGAAAGTAGAGCTTACATATCGAAAAAATAAAAGAAATCAGAAAATCATAGGAAAACCATACACCATTGGGGGAATATGTAAAGAACACATATCAAAAAATCTAGGGGACATAGGGAAAATAAGAAAAACAGAGAACATGAAGGAATACATTGTGGCATGATGTGAGATCATTAAGCGAAAAAGGAGAGCTCGTATCAGCACCGATTCAACATGCACTTTCGCACAATAGAGAAACGTAGCAAAACACAAGAAACTATTCAGGAAACACGCAACATTTGACCAATTTTTCGGATTGCGAGAAAGAGGCCGAAAAACAAAATCGGAGCTGCACTGTGCAAAAGCACAAAATGATTAGCCACACGTTTAATCAATAGGGATTCAATAGGGTATACAAAAAACACACAATGAAATCTCCCAGACGCCAAGCCCTACTATAGCATGAAGAAAGTCATATTGGAAACCAGAACAGTCACCGTAGACGGGACAGGTGCGCCACAAAGGAATGCAGGAATGAAACTACAAAGACCCGTCATGGAAAGACAAAACCAGCAAGACCATTGCCAAAAACGCAACAACATGACAGTGTCCAGCGGGTGTCCCGTTCCATTTGAGCTGATCAGAGGGATACCCAATAATCAGTGAATCAGTGGAGGTGAAGAGCAGCACAGACCCATGCCGCGCCCCAGTTCAGAAGCCCCCCAGACTCAACATGCTAGTGACTAGGACTAGTGACTAGAGAAAGGACCCTTGGACCTTCAACAAGGAGGCTCATGCGAAGCTGAGAAATGGCTGACAATGCAACACCAAAGCTAAAATCGACTGGGCCTTGCTCAGCTTGGCGAGCTCACCACCCACCACTTTCGGATCCAGGCTGCCAATCGTCATTGCAGCAACCACTAGAACCTTGGAAAGGTCCTGCTCTTCAAGGATGTCCTTCTTCCAACAGGTCGACGCATGGCACATTTCATACCCTTGGCCAACATCCTCGACTCGCTCCGCAGCCTGCTCCAAGTCTGTTGTCATGTTCACCACATGCTCGACTGCGGCTTCCATCAAGATTTGGTTCGGGTTGATGCCACCAGTGAAGGCCTGCATGAACATCTCATAGGAAAAGCGGTGAAGGTCCTGCTCACTTACATCCTTGACCAGCTCAGGCCCTGGTCCCATTTCCAAGGTGGGAACCTCATTCTGGTGCTGCTCAGCAGCCTTCCCAGCCTTGAAGAAGGCAAGGCATGCTCGAAGCAGCTTGTCGAATGTCACCTTGTTCACATCCCTGCGAACTCGCTCTGCTGTCTGCGCTCCCAGCTGCTCGTACCGAGAGCAGACCTTGTGAAAGTCCACAGCGCAGCTCGCAATCTTGAAGATGCTGCTCAGCCATTGTGGGTTCGGGTGGGGCAGGATCTTTGAGAAGTCGCTGGTAATGGAGAGGAAAGATTCCAGTGCCTCGACATCAAGAGGGCTTTTGTTTGCCTTAGCTTTCAAGCTGGCAGCTGACCAGGTCCAGGCGAGTCTATTTCTTTGGCCCCTGAAGCCCAAAACCCTGAAACCGCAAACCCCTAAACCCTAAACACCTGCATCCCTCGCCCCCGATGGCTCTAACCCTAAACCCTAACCCTGAACCCGACACCCTAAACCCCACGTCTCCCTCACCCCCTCACGCACACAGAGACACTGACCCCAGAGATACCACAAATGATGGACATAGTGGCATAGTGACATGGTCACATCGTCCCATCTTCTAAACACCCTCTTATTCTTAGCCATTCCCACACAAGGCAGGGCGCCAAGGCCAACATGCGATTCAGCAGTGGGAGGTAAAGCTTTGACAGCTTGCCGTGCTGATGGTCTGGGAACCCTTCCTGGGCATGCTGGGCAACCTGGAAACGCAAAATCTCCACGTCCAAGCTTTCACCGTCCACCTTGGCCTCCAACTGTGCATCGATCCACTGGCTCATTGTGGCGCTTTTGACTTGAGGAGCTGATTTCTGCTGCCAGTGCTGCAGCTGCAGCACCACATCCATGAAGTCATCCTTCATGCATTGGCAGGACTCCAATGTCTGGATGAATGTGTTGATGCGGTCAAGGGGCTGGCCATCGAAATCATCGATCTTGATGATTTGCTTCATGAGCATGTCCACAACCGTCTTCAAGGTGGCGCGAAGCTGAGACGTTGCACCTGCACGCAAGGCATCCTCATAAGATGGGAGCTGGTTCAGGACTTCAATGACCTTCTCCAAGTTGGTGTTTGCCAACAACTCGTGGCTGGAATCGTCAGATGCCTCCTTGCTCTTCTGGATCATCCCCGTCAGCTGCCTGTGGTACCCATGCAGCTTGGGGCCCAACTCCTTTGCCACACCAGCCTTCAAGGTGACGTCCAGACAGAATGGCTTCCAGAAGTCGCCCTGAAGCTCGAACTTGAGCATGCACAGCAATGGCTCTGCATCCTGAGCGCAGGACGTCACCTCCACTACGTCTTTCGCAGACGACCCCAGCACCCCAGGAATTGGCACCAGCAAGGCGACAATGGCTCGACAGAAAAGCTGCACAGAGGTGAGGCCCTCCTGTATGCTCTCTGGCAATTCCCCCAATTCGGCCTCATACTCAGCATACACGACGTCCATGCTCTCCAGCATTGTCTGGCAAATCCCAAGCAAGATCTGCTGAGACGCCTTCTTGGTCTTGCAGTTTTGCAGGAGGCTGCCCAGGAAGTCATTGCCAAACGCATCGAGCATGCTGCGCTTGATGACCTGACAGAGGCACTGCAACAACAAGACTGGAATCATCTAGAATCTAGAATTAAAAGACTATCAGATAGGTTTTCAGTGTAGTGGACACAAACATGATCACTGTCATCTCTTGCTGCTGGCACACAGCGCAAAGCACTGTGTGCTGATTTAAGTTGAACACAACTTCATGAGGGCACAGGCCCGGCGCAGGCATGACCATAGGATGACTCGGATCGTAGTTATGTCGTAGTTGAAATTGGACACAAACTTGCGAAGGCTTTCGATTGAAGCCCCAAAGACCTAAGACCTAAGACTCGACGTCTACGTCTAAGTCCAAGTCAAAGTCACACAAAAATCACACCCGCACCCAGCCCCCCAGCCCCAACCACAGCCCAAAAACACATCCCAGCCACCCCCCACCCCAGCCCGACCCAGCCCCTGATGCCCTTGGCACAGAATGCTTGCACCAACTAAACACCCAGCCCTGGCATTACACCACTACCAGGCCACTACAACCATAGCCCATAGCCATAACTTTTGCAGCTGATGCATTCCTCAACCGTGTCAAAGAAACTTGAACCCCACACCATCCCACCCACCATTTACGCCAATTTATGGCATCATAATGCCATGAGAAGAAAAAGACATTGGGCCAAAAGATTCAATAGATGCAGACGGCAACCCTGCCCTTAACCCTGACCCTAGACCCCAGCTCCTAGCTGCTAGCTGTAGCCAGCCCCAGCCCCAGCCTGGAAGTGCCGCTCACCGTTGGCCTGCTCCATGTCATCAATGTCTTCAACCAGTTCTGCATCGTCACCTTGTGAGCTTCGGTGTTGCCCGATCTCTGCCGCGTGCACAGGGCCAAGCTCTGAAGCTTCCATGATGTCTGTGAGCAAGGCATGCAGGCGCGGCTTGAACATGTCAAACTCGGCCACCTTGACAACAGCACCCGCACTGGCACTCGACTCTTGCGGTTGGTCCAGCTTGCTGGGGAGCGGCAACCACATCAGCAGGAACTCGTCGATCACTGCCTTGCTGTCCTTGCTCCACTTTTCTGTGCCAAGCTTGCGCATGACATCACAGCAAGCGACCTCCAAGATACCAGCATTGATACACAAAGGCAGCGTCACGAAGCCTTCCACAAGCTTCAAGTGCTCGTAGAGCTGCGCAGGGCTGAAGTTCTTGATGCTTGTCTGGTTCTGATTCAATGTCGCGGCTGCATCGCAAACAGCAATGCGTTTTTTCAGGATGTAGCTCTCCTTGACCTCCTTCTGCACCAGCTGGTCGTGCAAGTCCCGTGCCTTGCTCAACCCAGAACTCACGGTGCACACAAACCTACTGATACAATTCTTATGTGCCTCAGCGCGTGTGTTTCAAGTGCAGAAAGCCAACTGGCAATTCATTCCTAGTTCCTAGTTGCTAGTAGCTACTAGTTCCTAGTTACTCATCTGGCCCCTGGTAATGAATTACAAGTTTCTCATTCTAGAAACTGGTAAATCTAGTCTAGCAATAATCTAATTGGTTATGGGTGGGAAGACCGGCGCAGCTTATGACTTATGATGATCTTTTCATCTTGATCTTGGCCAGTAAATTGTTTCACAAGAAAGGGTAGGACTGGACTGGACTGAGCCTTTGGCTGACTATCTTTTTTTGTGTTGATACTGAAGCCAAGGCCAAGGCCAAGGGCCAAGGCCAAACCATCCGTCACAGTTTTGCATGACGATAAGACGACACAAGACGTGGGACCCTTCGACCTTGGACTCCGGACTCTGGACTCTGGACACTGGACCTGAACCATGGAAGGGGTCCTGGAGTCACTCAGCCAAAGCACATGTCATATGTCTGGCATGGACACACAAGTGTCCCAAGACACACTGACATGCATGACAGGTCTGAATGATCTTGTTGTTGTGAACGTTCCTCCCAACACTTTCACACATTTGACTGAGGGCATGGCTGCTCTGACAGAGCGGCCGATCTTTTCACCAGCCAGGAGTCGCACTGGTGACAATGACAGAAAGCACTCTGGCACTCGTCCAAGGCGAATCGCCACTCGCTGTAGCTCTAAATCGCCTGGTAGCTTCTTGGCGATCTCTCCCTCTGTCATGACATCACCGCTGGTCTTGGCATCAAAGTTGCTCAAGGACTTCGCTCTCTTGGACTTGACTGACCTCATGCTCTCAGCCCTTTCAGCCGCAGGGCTGGTGTCACGTGTTTCCTGGGGTCTGTGGGGCACCAGCTGTCCAAGGCCTCCAGGGAGTCCACCAGCATCGGCCTCCTTCCCTGGCGGCCGCTTCGAAGCCCCAGCCTGCTTTGGCTTTGCTGAATCCCGGCGCTTTTTTGCTGCTCCAGCAAGAGGCAGGTCCTCTTCCAAGGAGCCCAAAGCCAAGCTCACAGATCGTTTCTTGTCTGCTGCCTCTGCACCAGCTTGCTCCTGATTCTTCAGAACCTCTTCACTGGCCTTGGCCTTTGCAACGAGGGATTGAAGCGTTGGCAACTTGTCAATGTTCTGCAGCTGCAATTCCGCACATCGCCGAGACAGGAGTGCAGTGGTTGCTGCTTGCCTGACTGCTGCTGCCTGGCTCTTGTGAACTGGCCTTTCAAGCAGTTTCTCATCCTGAAACAAGACACGGTCGATCGAGTAGCGCACCTTCTTCAAAGACAAGATGTCCCCGATCCTCATGGAGTGTGGAAGGTCTCGCAATGAGACATAGACTCCTTTGACAACAGAGATACCGTCTTCACACACTCGGTCTTCGAGTGTCAAGCCCAGCGCTTTCGAAGTGGAACCTGTCCATTTCAGGATTTCAGAGTCTGTCAGAAAAGCTACCTCCCAGTAGAAGCATTCTGAGAGCCCTCTCTGAGTGGATATTGAAGTCGGCGTCTTGATTGGGTGAGGGAGTGTCGGCTGGCTGGGGTTGACCTGCTCCCATTCCTCCATCTCAATCATGTTCGACTCAACCTCGCCCCAAAGCTCACAAAGGGTAGCATCCTTTGCAGCCAAGCGTTCAACGGTACTTTGCCAGTCAAGGCACAGCACCTGTCGACAAATCTTCAAGCATCTGGCGCACGCATCTCCGATTGGTAGGTCTGCGTTGCTGTACACACCCCACACAATGCCCTGGAAGGGGGCACAAGGACACAAGCACAGAAGGACAAGGCCCACGGCATGATCAGGCATGATCCTACTCACTAGTCTCTGGCCCTGCTTCCTAAGGACAAAATTGCAAGCAAAACTCTACCCCTGTCCTTCTCCTTTGAGTGGCGCTTGCACACTGCGCACACCAACTTGACCGCTGGTCCTGGTTTGCGAGCGCCTGTACGCAATGTAGTTGGGGCCGCAGGAGCTGACTCATATGACAAGAGCTCAGACCATAAGTCAGGCCCTCCAGCCCGTGTGGCCGATGGCTCAGAGGGGGTAGACACCTCCTCCGGTATCTCCTTGAATGGGCACAGGCACTGACTAGTTGCTACGAACCAACACAATGAGGCAATGTGCCATGACCTATACAGCACTCGCCCAGCATGAGCCGAACAAGTCTTGCAACAGAGTCCCCAGTCCTCCTTGATGATTCTCTTTCCCATCACTGCTGTGACTGGGCTCCACGGCTGACCCCTGTTGTAAGGCCCCAAACAGCACACACTGTCTGAGCTTGGTGGAAAACTGTAGCAGTCAAGTCATACATTCTTGCCTCAGCCACCTCAAACTGCACATTGCACAAGACACGACATGATCGCAACACGAGTGACGGTTTTCACTCGACCTGTGCTCTCTCCTTCAGTGACACCACTCCATCTTCGACTTGCTGCCAAACGCTCAGACAAAGATGGGTGAAGCAGCACACTATCGCACAATGGGCTCCCTATGGTGCCACGGCAACAGCTCCTAGCGTTGTTTGTTGAAGCAGAGAAATAGGCAAGCAAGTCGATGACGGCACTAAGCCTCTAAGCGGGTTGATGAGCTGCCCGGCCAGTATGCCATGCCCAATATGAACACATGGAAGATTGACCTGGGAAACCTCACGAGCAATCCTCTCTCAGGGCTGACTGGGGTTTTAGGTTCTAGGCGAGACGTTTGCTAGGGGACCACGCTACCTGCTGAAGCTCAAGCCTAACACGGAGTCTAGTGGCTATCTGGCACGCAGAGCTTCCGTTTCAACGAATCCAAGCACACGTGGGTGACGTGTGGCGTTGGGAGCCTGATTGTGGCCAAAGTGACCTCTGTGACTATGCAGCCACCATGTTCACAATCAGTCTAGACTCTAGATACTGTACAGGAACCTGCAAAACAAAGAGCACTATAGAGTCTAGTAAGTCTAGAGAACAACTGACACTATCTGCAGGCTCCATGGCAGATGCACAGTGAGTACATGGCAAGGGCTGGTGCCTCAGGCCTCATCAGTGACACTGAAGGCCTGAAAACCAAGCCAGCCAAACCTGGCCCACTGGGGAACAATCAGTACCATTCCCATCCCCTGGCCAAAGGTCCAAGTTCTATCGAATTTCCTGCTAGTCAGGTGCTCAAGCTCTGTCCTCTGCAGGCATGCCCAAGCCTTCTTTGACCATGTAGTATGTCCACATGATGGCCCCGAGGCAAGGCAATGCGATGCTGGAACCCAGCATCTGCTTGTACTTGTGAACGGAAACACTTGCTGGGATCTCCGAATCGTCGGTCCAGCCCATCATGCGTGCCATCTCCTGCGCATGCACAATCCGGTCGTGACCGAAAGAATACATGCTGGTACTTGTCGTGAAGCATGGGGCCGCCTCATTGCTTTTGTTTTTGCCTTTGGTCCATGGAATGCGAACATGATTCTGCGAGGCATCTGCAAAAGCATGCTGCATGAATCCCAGCATGACCTCATCACTCACATTGCTTGACAGCCCATGCTTGCGTAGCCGCCACGCCACAGCAACATTCAGCAGGTCCATGATTCGCGGAGTCAATGGCAAGCCCTCACCCTTGAAACCCACTCGGCCAGTCCAACGCTTCCACCCCTTGCTGACTTGTAAAGAACTTCGCAAGTTATGCGACTGCACCTGCCACTTTTGAATGTCCAGGGCACCACCCATCTGCATGGGCTCTTTTTTCGAGTCCTGGAGGCTAGGCAAATGTGATGTGGCTTCAGAATCATGATTTGATTGGTTGACTGCCAGGGAAGCCAAGACCTGAATGTCTCTCCCTCTCAACCCCCACCAGCCCACCCGCCCAACCCCACCTCCACAGCACCAAAGCACCAGGCCCCCCCCCACCCCCCCACCCACCCAGGCTGGGAAAGCTATGTTTGGACCTATTTTTCCCGCTATTTCTCTGTCTATTTGTTTCCTATTTGCTGATGCTTTTTTTGGCTGGAAGAAGCTAGTTTTTCCAATCGCTTCCTTATTTTTTAGTAAATTTTCTGGCGCTTGTTCCGAACTGAAGCCTATTGTTAGCTTTTCATAGTTTTCCTATTGAAACCCTATGGAAATCCTATTTTTTCTCTAATTTTCCTTTAAAAAATAGAGGAAAAGTAGGAAAATAATAGGAAATCAATAGGAATTTGCTAGGGCTTCAGAGAAAATACGACTTTCACTAGATTTTAATAGTTTTCCTATTGAAACCCTATGGAAATCCTATTTTTTCTCTATTTTTTCTCTAATTTTCCTTTAAAAAATAGAGGAAAAGTAGGAAAATAATAGGAAATCAATAGGAATTTGCTAGGGCTTCAGAGAAAATACGACTTTCACTGGATTTTAATAGTTTTCCTATTGAAACCCTATGGAAATCCTATTTTTTCTCTATTTTTTCTCTAATTTTCCTTTAAAAAATAGAGGAAAAGTAGGAAAATAATAGGAAATCAATAGGAATTTGCTAGGGCTTCAGAGAAAATACGATTTTCACTAGATTTTAATATTTTTCTTATTGGAATCCTACGGAAATCCTATTTTTTCTCTATTTTTTATCTAATTTTCTTTTAAAGAATAGAAGAAAATTAGGAAAATAGTAGGAAATCAATAGGAATTTGCTAGGGCTTCAGAGAAATTACGATTTTCACTAGATTTTCAGAATTTTCCTATTGAAACCCTATGGAAACCCTATGTTTTCTCTAATTTTTCTTTAATTTTCCTCTAAAAAACAAAGGTAAATTAGGAAAATAATAGGAAATCAATAGGAATTTGCTAAGGTTTTCTGCTCGGGTTTCCTAGAGGCTACATTTTACAATTTGTCTTTCAAGCATAGCTCAACATTAGGAAACAAATAGCAATTCAATAGAATGGAAAATACGACTAGAAGAGATGGAGACCTCCAGAATATAGGTTTGGAATAGGAACAAAATACGTTCAAAAATAGCACAAAATTAGGTCCAAAAATAGCTTCTCCAGCTCTGGACTATGGCTATGGTCAGGGCCTGGGCCCTGTCCCTAGATTCCCTAGATTCCCAGGGTTTCCAGATCCCAGTCCTTGCAGAGATCTCGCCAGCTGGAGAGCAAACCGCTTTCAGGTGGCTCCAAAAAATCATTGATCATCTTTGTGGGAGTACAGGAGATGCTCTGCTGAAGGTCCTGCAAAGCGAAGGCGTTCACATGTCAAAGTCCATCTGAGCATTGTTCAAGGGACATTCCAGCATGTCATGTCTACAGTCTACCGTGGAAGATACAGCTCAGGCCTGACTTTGCAACACTTGCGAAGCAAGTAAATAACTGAACTCGAGCCCCATCAAATTACACCCCTGTGCCAAATCCAAGAATGGTCCAAGAACTGAAAACAGCAGAGAAAAAAAGAAGGAGCAGGCCTCGAGCAAGGACATCCACCGCCTCGCTGCAGCAACAGAAAAGAGGTCCTTCCTGAGGAAGCACACAAAGATCCTGGCAGCGCAGCGAGGGCCCTCTAAGCTTTCAAGCCATAAAGTCTTGAAGACTTATGCGATTTCAAGGTTTGAGGTTCAGAAGCAGTGGAGTTTACTGCTGTAGCGCTTTTGAGGGGCCATGATCATGTTATGCCTACGCCAACCCGCCTCCTCTCAAATGACATTTGAACAGATCCGTAATCCCCAGGTCCAAATCATTGCTTTTGACCAAACCGATACTTTCCGAAAGCTAATACATAGGTGACTCAGGACATAGGACCTGCTTTCTTTTCACTGTCCATCCTTGGACTCCAGAGTCCAGATCGTTTGTACTGCACCCCTCAGCGTGAAACATCAGGCTCATGAGCCACATCCTCACCATCCTGCCTCTCACTTGCACGACTGAAAGCAACCGCACCCTCAAGCTTCATGAACACATCTCGTGCCTTTCTGCGATCAGCAAAAGTCGGGTCAGCAAGCCTTTCACTGTGTATGTGTCTCAGGGCGGTCTGGAAGGATGGCCCCCCAAGCAGCCAGTGCACCAGGAACCCGATTGGCCTGCCACTTTTGCCTTGGGCAAGGCCCTTCTCCGTGGGAGCAACCGTTCGTTCTTTCCGGCACTTCCCATGACCTTCGATCTCACAATGGGCTGTGATGGTCTTTGCACGTGAGTTGAATCTCAAAGAACCATAACAAAGGCCTTTGTAATTGATGTAGATGACATCCTCTCGAACTTGTTTTTTGCGTGGCACAGCAGGAGGCTCGGGATGATTGGGAGGTGGGTCAGCATGCTCCAAGGGATCTTCAGGGGATCCAGCTGCAGCAGCTGGCCTTGGCAAGTCAGGATGCAGCGCAGCTGAAGAAGAGGAAGCAGCCTGAGCAATACCTGCAGCACCAGTGCGCGGCGCGGCGGGAGCCGAAGAGGAGGAAGGCTCAACAGCAGGAGATGGCCTTGCGGGCCTTGCGGGAGGCCCAAAAACTGGATTGCTGGTCACATTCTCTTTCTCTGCAAAGTCTGTGGCATACAAGACGCACCTCTAAGCAAAACACCCCCCTCTAAGACCCGCCCAGACGCACCTCTAAGCCAAACATGCCGCCTACAAGACGCACCTCTAAGCCAAACACGCCCCCTACAAGACGCACCTCTAAGCCAAACACACCCCTCCAAGACCCGCCCAGACGCACCTCTAACGCCCCCGCCTCACCTCTAAGCCAAACACCCCCCTCTAAGACCCGCCCAGACTCCGTGCTGCTACGGATCCAACGCTCTACGCCTGTAGCTGAGTGCCAAGTGAGAGGGTGCTGCTGCATTTGGGGCCGGGGGGGCCTCCACCTGTGGCACTCCTGAGCGTCCATGCACGGCACGAAACCGATACTTCTCTCACCCTCACTGCCTCAGGGGAGATGTGGACTCTCACCCTAACATCCGGCTGAAGGTAAGGACCAACACTCTCCACAAGATCAACTTCAAGATTAGTGGGTAGATTACGTCCTTGATATCTGATGGGTGGAGAGGAACCGAGTTCACCCCTCGGTTGTTTCCGTGGCGGTGGCGGTGATGGATCATCGTTCTCCATCGCGCCACACATTCCAAGCATCAAAAGGTAGCAAAGAAACCATGGCCGCATGATGTGCATAGCTGGGTCAGCCCAGATATCTTGTCCGGATGGAGGAACTGCAGCTACCCCGCACACGCTACAAACGAACTCGAGCCGTGGTGTTTTTTCCTTCTTCTACTACGACAACGACTAATGACCACTGCTGCTACTACTACTACTACTACTGCTACTACTACTACTACTACTACTACTACTACTACTACTACTACTACTACTACTACTACTACTACTACTACTACTACTACTACTACTACTACTACTACTACTACTACTACTACTACTACTACTACTACTACTACTACTACTACTACTACTACTACTACTACTACTACTACTACTAACTACTAACTACTAACTACTAACTACTAACTACTAACTACTAACTACTAACTACTAACTACTAACTACTAACTACTAACTACTAACTACTACTACTACTACTACTAACTACTAACTACTAACTACTAACTACTAACTACTAACTACTAACTACTAACTACTAACTACTAACTACTAACTACTAACTACTAACTACTAACTAGCTACTAACTACTAACTACTAACTACTAACTACTAACGACTAACGACTAACTACTAACGACTAACGACTAACGACTAACGACTAACTACTAACTACTAACTACGAACTACGAACTACGAACTACGAACTACGAACTACGAACTACGAACTACGAACTACGAACTACGAACTACGAACTACGAACTACGAACTACGAACTACGAACTACGAACTACGAACTACGAACTACGAACTACGAACTACGAACTACGAACTACGAACTACGAACTACGAACTAACTACGAACTACGAACTACGAACTACGAACTACGAACTACGAACTACGACTACTACGAACTACGAATACTAACTACGAACTACTACGAACTACGAACTACTACTACTAACTACTACTACTACTACTACCTACTACTACTACTACTACTACTACTACTACTACTACTACTACTACTACTACTACTACTACTACTACTACTACTACTACTAACTACTAACTACTAACTACTAACTACTAACTACTAACTACTAACTACTAACTACTAACTACTAACTACTAACTACTAACTACTAACTACTAACTACTAACTACTAACTACTAACTACTAACTACTAACTACTAACTACTAACTACTAACTACTCACTACTAACTACTAACTACTAACTACTAACTACTAACTACTAACTACTAACTACTAACTACTAACTACTAACTACTAACTACTAACTACTAACTACTAACTACTAACTACTAACTACTAACTACTAACTACTAACTACTACTACTACTACTACTACTACTACTACTACTACTACTACTACTACTACTACTACTACTACTACTACTACTACTTTCCATTCCAATCGCAGCCGGTCACTCAGCTTGGCGTCAGGTACATGGCAGTGCATTGCACCGGTGCTTCGTGAGCACTAGAACCATAATGGGCAAGTCCCGCTACGAATAGCTGCAAACTTGCGTCCTACTCAACCAGTCAAGAGAGAGGTGCACAGTGGCACAGAGTGCACAGTGGCACAGACAAAAACTGCTTCAGCATGTTATGCCGGTGGCAGTGGACAAACAGTATCGGATGCAGCGTCGCGGCCTGTAGTTAAATCCTCGTCACTTAGTATGTACAAGACATGGAGGCACTGTACACAAGACGGCATGGTCTATGTACAAGTGGCCCAGCTGGGCACACTGACGGTCTAGAGTGGCCAAAAATGGCCCACTAGCCTCTCACTCACTGTCAAGGTTTGTTGCATGTGGTACAGGTGGTGCAGTGCAGGGATGAGCTCATCCACTGCCCTGACCGTGAAGATTGCAATCGTGATGCGATCTCCTGTCCAGGGGCGGGTTTCGTGCCATTGTTGAGGGTCAAAAGTGACGCCCGGCAGCGTGAGATTCAGCACAGTGCCCCGCATGGTACCATCCATACACGTATAGTTGCCTTCCGGATTATGTACCCATACCCCTCCGCCTGTAAAGGCCGAGCAGGGTAGCACAGCATTGACACTTTGTGCGGCGTTGTTCATGTCTCTATGTGCATGCAAGAACGTATTACGCTGTAGCACGAAGCTAGTGAAGGGCACCCGGGTGCAGGAGCGGATGTACTTACACACCATTAGGGTAACCCATGGGAACTTCGAGGTGTTGCGCCGGAGTCCATGCAGCGGGCCCTGTGAGTAGGCTCCACTCATAAAGCACATACTGCCAGGTAGGTCAGCATGCGCCTCACTGCGCAGGTCGCCCCGAGGCAGACTATCACAGAGTAGCTCCCATGCACTCATGCGCACCTGGCCACAGGCAATCATTTCAGCCGCGATTTGTTCAGCTATGTGCCTCGGGTATGGCATGTCATCGGGAAGTTTGTCATCGATCTCCAGTGAGTACGGGATCCTTACCTCGTGTTCATGCTGTGTTGGCTTGAAGCCAGTAGCCTCACCCATTGCACAGTCAGAGGTGTGCACAGGCAACATTTGCAGGATATAGTGCCATGCTCGAGCCCTATTGCGCAGGCAGAATACGCTCTGGGAATGTGGAGGTGTGTGGGGGCAATTAGGTAGGGAAGGTGTGATCGTGCAATCTTTAACAGTCCCTGTCGTTTTTGTGGCGCAGGGTGGCTGCTCGTCGCCTCATTAGTTTGCAATGTATTAACTCATGCTCAGTAGAGTGGCCCGGCAGGCTCACTGCACAACGTGCTGCTCAGGTACCTGCAACAAGGCGCATGCACACATGAGCGTGGGTGTGTGTCAGGTAGCCGCAGGCACATGGCAGCAGTGCAATCCTTTTTTCTGATTTTTTGGGGTTTTTTGTAAGCACAGGCTGCCTATGTGTCCCTCACAGGCGGCTACCCCGCGACCCTTTGGGGGAGATGATTGAGAAAGCGGGTGGTATAATGTCCCCCGTGCACAGTGGACCCTCGATGCAGCACACACGCAGTGATTAAGTATGTGATATGCTTACAAGCAGCTCCCTTATGTGGGTCACAGTAGCACGGGATCAGGACTGCAGTGGGAATGGCGACCCTGGTGTGCAATTTGACCGTCTCGCCAGCGTCTATGTCCAAGAAGCGCGAGATGCGCAGGAGCAGAATGCGGGGAGGATGCGTGCAAGCTTGTACGTGCGTGCCGCCGGTGCGCCAGTGGTCAACAAGTGCTTGGAGGGTAGTGGTGGCATAAGGGTCCGGCAGGTCAAGGGTGATGGACCTCTGTGTGTTGTGTTGTCCTCTGGTCTCTGTTCCCTCTACCTCACTAACAATGCGTGATTCCCACTTGCCTTGGAGAACTTGGGGTCGTCCAGCTCCTAGGAGGTGTTCAAGGAACTCACAAGCATCTTGTTGTTGGTGTAGGTTAGCCCAATTGCACAGCAAGGGCCGCCAGGAGCTCAGTGCATGAACGTGAATGGGCTTACGCTGAGCACCATACTTGAGGATGTCCGCAACCTGGAGGTGGCTAACCGCAAACAGCCAGGCGCGTACACTTGCATTAAGGTAGCATGTATTGCTGCTGTTGAGGAGCCGTGTTAGTAGTATTCGGCCAGCGTCTGTTGGACAAGCGCGGCAGCCGGTGACTGCTTGAGCGTGTCCCTCCTCAGTTGGAGGCCGTTGACCTGCATGGCCGACAAGCCGGTCAGTGCTTCCAGTGTCTCCCATACTGTTGGGTGGCCCTTCGTGCGATTGGAGATGTCCAGCTGAAAAGCGGTGATCCCCGTCATGGTGTCTGCCAGGGGACGTGTGGCGTGGGGGCTGCATGATCATGGGTAGAAGGAGTTGTAGTGCTTCCACAAGCTACGCGTGTGGAAGCGGGGGCCTCCCCTCGTCGACCACTAGGCTCCCCAACGCTGGTGACCACTTCTGATAGCACCAGTGGCCTTCCTGTAGCCACTTGTTTTCCTCCGCTTTCTTCTGGAAGGGTGTCGGCGTCGCTCCTCCTCTATGTCCTTCAGGCTCGCACGCAGCATCGTGATCAGACATCCGAATAGGGTGGTGCGTAGGGCGCTGGTCGTTGTTCCCTCCCTGAGACTTCTTCCATTTTTGTGCCGCTGCAAAGAGGAGAGGAAGCGGCCCCTGACTGCCCGGCTGAATGAAGAGCACCCAGCTGTAGTCCTGGCGTAGGATCTTGAGCGCCATCTCCTGTTGCAGCGCTAGTCTGGCCAGTGCTTTGATCAGGTAGGTCAGGTTGGGGGTTTCGTGACCACGTCCCTTGCCCCCACCTTTGCGCCAGTGTTGTTTGCTTAGAGGACCTTCCCCGAGCAGCTCGTCTCTCTCCTTCCTCTTTTCTGGAATCCCTTGCATTCAAGAACACCTCTAACTACTGCTATGTCAACGCATCCACACAGGCTCTACTAGCCACCACCATCCTAGACCCTTCACTGCGGTGACTGAATGCATTGATGAGCCTTGTCACTTCATCGGCGCAGTCGAGTGCCGCTCTCCCTCTTAACCTTGTAAACTCCTTCCCGCTCAGGAGCCTGCTACCAAGATGGCGATTTGATGGCGCTCAACAGGACTCGGCAGAGTTTCTGCAGGGCTTCTTGACGGCTGCCTCCGATCTTCCCTTGACACGACGATGGGCAACCGTAGATCAGGCCACAGGACGGCTAGAGGTAGAAGGAGGACCCCTTGTCATGCTCATGCAGCACTCCGAAAGCAGGTCCCTCCAGTCCCTGATTGACGAATGGGCCCTAGTACCGCCAAATACCACACTGCTAGGGCAGCAGAAACATGCAGTTTTCACAGTGGCTAGATTCACAGGCTCGGGTAAGAACCACTTTCCCATCACGTCCTACGGCCAGGAACTCCGGGTTCCTGTCTTGTATCAGGGTCTTTTCGCCTGGAACGGGCATACGTGCAATCCTGCGTATTTCACATTGGTTCCACCCCGCACAGCGGCCATTATCGCACAATATGGAGGTCAGCACCGACATCGGAGTGGCAGTCGACAGACGATCACCGCCGATCACAACCGGCCACGCACTCAGATCACAGACAAGCCAGACATGGCTCCTACATCTTCTTTCTGACATTCCCGGCAGTCACTCGCAGTGAAGTGGTGTCACTCTAGCAGCCTCTCTCTACTGGCCAGCACTGCGGTCAGTTAAGTGGCACAGCCACCAACACCCATCTAGCGGTCATGCACTACCTTGCAATTTACCTGCCCGCAGCTTTTCCTTCTCGGCACAAGCAGGGAGATCGCCGGACGCAGGCAACGGTTCTAACACCCCAGCAGCGCTACGATGGAGTCTCGCCAAGACGATGTGCAAGGACGAGCTGGCACAGAGAACAAACGGCCCCGCATGAATGGCGCAGCTCAGTCGTTGCTGTCGAGGCAAGAAGGCACCAATGAAATCCAAGCTCTGACACCACTGGAGCTTACCCGAGGCTTTCTTGCACACGATGAACAACTGACCAGGTTGGCGCAGCAGACTTCAGTGGTCTTCAAGTTGCCAGCTGCAGCACCTTTAGCTGCCAAGCTGCTAGAAGAGGCAGTGCAATGGCGCTCAGAACATGTCAGGGGACGCCCTCACCCTCGAGGATCCCTTCATGCCACAATCGCGTACAGGCTGTTCATGGAGCTGCAGGACTCCAAAGTTCCCCCATACGTGTCGAAGCCCAGCTGGAACTCCTTCGCTGAAGTCTTGGCAGACCTTGTCAAAAATCCGCCACCGAACCCGCTCCTGGATCGCGAAATCATCCAATGCACAGCAAAGCTGACGGCCAAGAAGACTCACCTCCTGGTGGATTTGCAGCCGCAATTGACGGGCGTGCTCCAGTCCCACATGCCAGTGTACACGAGCCTCACGCACACTTATGAGGGAGAACTGCTGGGTCGCCGTCCGCAAGGCGGGCTTTCTCGCAAAGCGAGAGGGCTGCCTTACACATCGCTGACCATAGACCAGTGATTTGTAAAAAGCAGAGCTGGCACTTGCAAGCAACTTCAAGTTGCCATCCTGTCGCCAAGACATCAACACAGTTGATGTGGCCCAGAGACACAGTCTCTTCGAAGCGCAATGCACATCCATTTCTCAGCTGCTAGCATAGGCCAGTGTTGCAAGGCCACCAGGCCGCTTTATTTCAACTTCGATTCTCCGCTCACCCACTTGGCCCTAGCTGGACCGACGGTCAATCTGATTGCTTGACTTCAGACTCTGGGCCAACTGAGCTAAGCTCCACTCACACTGTGAAGAATCACAGCGCCTGAACAGTCAAAAAGCTTGCTCATTTCTGCAAATCGCAGCAACCGTCTTTTAGCGCTTTCTAGTTTACGTCACCGCCATGAGCAAGACATTTACCTTTTACTTAAGACCAGCCACAACTCACATGCCGCTGAAGAAGTTCAAGCCAGACGGATGAACCCGCTAGTGCTAGCGTCCTCAGCACCCTCGGCATCACTGGTGCCATGCCATTCATCATGGATGACAACAAATTCCCGCCGGAGAAGTATGAATACTACCTTCGCCTCTACCATGCCAACGTTGAGGCTCATCGCAAAGAAGCAGAGGCTGCGGAGAAGAAGGATCAGGACAATCAGCCCGCATCCAAAGCGACCCCCACCACCAAGCACAGTACGAAAACCTCCGCTCGTGATCAAGATGGACTTGAAGGCAAACCGAAGCGCAAGCCGCCTTCGCCGCCAAAAGCCAGAGCCAAGTTGAGGCCTACGACTTGCTGGCGGCAGAAACACACCAATGAAAACTGAGAGCTGCGGCACAGCCGGACTCCGCTTAGACGCACAGCAAAGTCACAGAAGGATGCATCAAAGCAGGCAATCTCAGCCGGCAGTTTCAATAGGTTCCACAGGCAGCATCCCCTCCGTGACACGAAAAAAGCAGTTTGCACGCTTTGGAAGCCACCAGCTCAGCTGCTAGAATTCTCCTAAAGCGCTATCTGCACCGCTGCGATAAATCTAGGACTGCGCATTTACCTTGCCCCCTTTCCCGAGCAAGCTTGGCTTAATCGAGAAGTTCACCCTGTCTAGCCATGCTTGGACAAGCTATCGGCTACAGCGACCCACGGGCGAATGAGTTTGACGTCTCGGCCGCGATCCACTTCAGGCTCTCTCCTCTGCAGAGGAACTCCATAGTTAGAGCCCTGACTGGACCTATGGGAGTGCAGATTGGCCACGGTAACAGTGCCTATGTTACCAAGCTGATATCACTGAATCCAGAGGGCATCGACCTCGTCGCGAAGAGGGCAAAGCGTGGCAAGGAGGCTGAATTACAGCGGGAGATCCACCGTCTCAAGGCACTTCCGGCTCTCCCGGTCTTCTCGACAATCCTCCACTCCGACCTGGGAGCAGCCGTGATGATCTCGCTCTACAATTTTGAGGAGGGAGTCAAGCATCTGAGCATCACCTCCACCGCTGCAAGCTCGCAATGAGCCCAGCGCACCCCAGCTCTGCCTCGAGCACAGCTCCTGGCCGTCACAGACCTGGCAAAGGACACAGTCCCGTCACCAGGATCCCCTTCACGGAGTGGAACGAAGATGGAAGCAGGGCTAGCCCGACTACACCCACCCCAGCAGAAGAAGCTCAATGGTACGACCCCATGCATTCGGAGCAATTGATTGATCTCTTCGACTCCGTCGTGAAGGACATGGAGCGGGGCCTACGTGGCCGGCGGTGACCTGCACAGGCCACCGGGTGTGGTCAACACGGGCTATCACACAGGCACGAGCGACTACTACCGTTTGACACTCGCCTTGGACAAGGAAATATGGCCAACCCTCAAGCGCCACTCGGACGTCCCCAATGAGACGCAGTCCAAAATCCAGCGGTGGCTCACACAGGCCCTGGCAGAGTCGCCCCCGGCGCATCCCATCACAGTGTGGCCAACTGGATCCTGGGCGCAAAGTGCCACCAACATCATGCTGATCATGCAGACCAAGTTGTGGGATCGGGATGGTCACCCTGTGACTTCTACGACGACCATAGCCTACCAGAACGGGGGCCACGGACCAAATCCTCAAGCCACATGCTTTGGCAATTCCAATGGACGGCTTGTTTCCGAGGTACGCACAGCGGATACCCGAGGTACCGGAAGCTGGGAGCGCACAGCACTTTCAGCCCGGTGGTTCTTGTCCTGCGATCTCAAAAGTGTGCACGGGACGTACAACCGCATCTTGGAGGAGATCAAACCAATCTACGCGTACGGCAATTCGAACGGCTGCTTGGTTCAGGAGAAAGCCACCTCTCGACCACCAGCAGCAGCACCGCCCCTCGGCCAAAAACGAGGCAGAGCGAACCGCTCACAATCCCAACAGGGGCAGGCTCACGTCCATGGTGGGCAAGGCGTTTGGGCGGAGCCGCCTCCGCCGCCACAGCCACCATCTCAATCTGCTCGAGGACCAGAAGACGTGATGATGGACACCAACGAAGACCCCCTGAGTCTCCCTCCGCTGCCAAGTCTGTCAGCACCAATGCCGGCCCTTGAACTGAGCCCCAACGACCTAGCAACCTTGCAGGGATGGTTCGGATCGCTGACCCCATCCCAGCGCAACAAGATACAGTGGGCGGCCACCCTGCTGTTGCAGAGCGTTACGGAGTAGTAAACAACTCTCCTGAACTGTAATCTTTCTTCAGCCCTTTCTTTCCTTTCTTAAGCCACCAAAGCAGATTGCCAGTTACCGGAACGCTCTGCCAATCCAAGAGCCAATCTCTTCTTTTGAAATCAGGACCTCCCTGATCCCACAGATCGCTCAACACAGTCCTCAGGTTTGCACAGCGAACTAGGACCTGGGACACAGTCCTACAAGCAAGTTGAGAGTGTAACATACTCGCTTAGGCGAGAACGATGGTTTTTGGACAAGCCGCTGCGCCCTTACCAGCACAAAACATGCGATGCACTGCGCAACACCCCAGACAGTCATGCTTGGTATCGGTTCGGCAACGGTCACCGTTCCTACTCAGCGAGCATCCCAAGCATCAGCCAGACTCTCTGCACTAAGTCTTGTGCATCGTCCCTTCTTTCTCTTTTCCTTCCTCCGCTCACCTTGTGCCTCTTGTTCCTCCTCCAGGTAGGTTTGATCCTTGGCAGCTCCACTTCATTGTCTTAGCTCTCATAGCTGTCAGCACACCAGTACGGAGCCTACCTGCGAGCCATGGCTGCCGCGGCTAAGCCCACCACGCCAGTGCTCTGCCTGGTCGACAGCACCTTCCAGCACCTCCTGCTGAACGAGGAAACCTCCAAGTACCAGAGCTATGGAGTGCGAACTCTGCTCTCGGGCTACGCCGTCATCTGCCCCGGAGCCACGTTGACGGCTCGTTACACTTCACAGGGAGAGAGCCATCCTTCCAT